AAAAAAACATTACAGTGTACCTAAAAGCATAACTGAACTCAAGGTTACAAATTCATGACATAAAACAGGTTCTAGCATCAACCATGTTAAACTTTAACCAATAGTAATGTATTGGCAATATAAAATCTCTATTTACGTATTTTAAAAGGATATAAGAGTTCTCTTTCTCTCACAAAATCAAACCCAAATCTAGCAAATTGAATTATGGGCAAATAAAAATAAGATTAAGTACAAAATATAAATGCTCCAAAGCCAAATTTGATAATTATACAAGAATGCAAATGAAGGAACCAGATTTTCAACAGAATACAATCTGCTACCTGAGTAAAAACTACCATCATCAACAAGCCATTTATTTCCTCAATTAATACACAAGGCTTCATTTACAGTCAAACACAAAAAGCTTTCAGAATTTAACTATAAAAATCATGTTTCCAAAATAAAGAAGTCAACACGAAACTTCAAAATTTAATACAACGTCCCAACAAGCAAACCTATTCATCATGTTTCCCTGTTTCCCTGTGAAATGCAAACAATCACTATTTTCCCCCAAAAAAAAGGCAAATAAATAAACTTTCTTACTTGTTATTTAACAAATTCTTGATGGCCACCCGGGTGTTATCTGCCAAAACTCCATAGTACACAATACCATATCCACCTTCACCAATCACATTCTCGGCCGACAATCCATTAGAGGCTGCCTCAAGCTCTCTCAAAGTATACCATCTTCCCCATCCCAAATGGGATACCTCCGGCAACGAACCACTACCTCCAAACGAAGCCGTGTCGGCCCCACTCGTAGCCTTGCTCTCACCACTCGATGCTCTATCAGAGAACACCACGCGATGCTCCACCTTGCCCATATCTATTTGTATCTCAGGCACAGCCTGAAAATTTTTCTGGGAAAAGATTACAACAACAATTAGTATTATCATAACCTGAGTCCCCAATTAGTAAATTTGTATCAACTGGAAAACAATTAGACAAACCGTTAGAATCCCCAATTTGCAATAGTGATTACTCATTAGATTGGATTTTGAAACGAATGACTGAACAGCAACTGAGAAATTTCCCATTTAAGGAAGCAAATCTCGCCTTTAAAATGAATTTTGTGAAGATATAAGTTCAGATCCTGACAAATTACCTGAGCCACAACTGGGCGTTGTTCGGCCGCGGCGGCGGCGTAGGAGGAATCGTGGACGATCTCCTGGATCTCCTTCGAGATGACGGGGGTGAACTCTCCGCCGGTGAGTTTCGTCGGGCGGTGGGGTTTGCCCTTGCCGCCGCTTCGGCGGCGCCAGGCGGTGAGGCAGATCGACAGCAGGAAGAGGATGAGCACGATCCCCACCCCCACGATTATTCCGATCACCGCCCACAGGTGGAGACCGAAGATCGAGGTCCTCTTCGAGAGCTCGGTATCCACAAACGCCGCGTCAAACACCGACATCTTAGCTGTCAATCAGCTGTCTCTGCGCGTGAAATGAAGTGAGAGCGCGAGCATGCAAATCGGAATCGAAACGGAATTGCACAAATCTCGATTTGCAGAGTCGTCGGAAATGGAAATTGAGCGCAACTGTGTGTTCATGTAAGGCGCGTTTGTAGATTGAGAGCTGATCCTATAGCGGCGGCGCGTGTCCAATACGCACCGACCTAGATGTGCTGGCCGGCTTGGATTGTGATGAACTTTTCCGGCGAACAGAGTCCGGGTAGTGTGTGTGTGCGAGAGAGAGAGAAAGAGGTCTGTACTGTACAGTACTGTACTAAACTAAACTTGAGTGGTGTATTGTTTGCTGTCCAATTGTGAGAATTTTATTAATAATTTTGGCCAAAGGGGTTGCAATTTTTATTAGTTTTTTACAAATTGCCTTATTCGCCTTTTGGCATTGATNAAGCGCCCTAATAAATAATTTGTTACTTTCATTTTGGACTTCCTCTCAACGGTCAACAGATGAATATCAGAAGGTAATTTGGTTTATCAGATTAATTAGGGTTACTTAGCATATCATTTTCAACTGACACTATGAAATCATCGGATAGTTTTCTTATGGAGTATGTATTGATATCTGTTCAATTGTATTTATTAAAGAACATTTGTCAATACAGTATTTGTGAAGGAGTGTGAATAACTCCATAAGTCTACTCATCTGATTTATCAATTACAAATTAAGAGTGTGAGTGTGTGACTGTCAAATGGATCAATTCATTATATTTTTAAATAAAAATAAGTACACTTATCTATTGTGAAAAGTATGATTAATAACGGTTAAACCTACCAATTCATCATATTTTTTAAATAAAAAATAAAACAATTGCATCTATTATAAATAAAAAAAATATATAATTGTCTTACGTTGAACCGCTCACAACAAATTTACATTACTTTAATTGTGTATATAACAAATAATTTTATTTCTTATATGTCCGTCTCCCACTAAAACCGACTATGGACAATTATTATTTTTTAAATACCAATAATAATTTTCAAAAATATCCTAACAACTTCTATTAAAGCACTAAGATTACAAATTATATTACTTATGGCATGATTTTTTTTTTTGTTACTTTTTTTTTACTTATGATAATAATAAATTTTTTTTTTAAAAAATATACTATATTTTAATAAATATATTTTTGTATTTTTACACTGATATATATTATATAATAAATTAGTGAATTGTATATTCATTTACATATTAGTTAATACAAATATAGCATTACATAAACTCCTATAAGATATGTAGTCGAATATAATTTTTCATATTATAATTCAATTTATGAATAAATTTATAATATATACGATTTATAAAAATAAAATAATATCTTTTTAAAATATTTATAAATGCATTTTTAGATTTATTTTTATATAAGATGGTTTAGGCATGTGTGTAGGAGACTTAAAAACATTAGAATTAGGAACGTAAATCAAAATGTGGGAGGGTAGACCAAGAAAATTGGAAGGAAATAATAAAAAAATAATTTTAAATATTTAAATTTGAATGTGGATGTGGGTTTTGATCGAGCACGATGATGAGTCGGCAACATGCGATCCATATAGCCGACCCCACTTAGTGAGATTTTACCGGCTTGTTGTTGTTGTTGTATAAGTATTTAATATATCTTGTTAAAATAAGAACAATAAATAAAAATAAGTTTTTAAATTTTTTATTTGAATTTTACTTTTTGGAATTATTTTATTTAATCATAATTTACAGTTTATATTGTATATTGTTTATTTATTATTATTTGTTAATTTTATTTTTTAAGAAATTGATTCCTACATATATAGGAATGGGAAAAACCTTGCATTTGGTGTGGAATGGCTAATCCCATCGAGATGGGTTTTGCAATTCCCATTGGAATGGTCATCCTTTCCAAAAAAATATATTAATCATGGGATAAGGAATGAGTAGGGAATGAACATTTCATTCCCATGTCATTCCATCATACCAATCATGACATTATAACATGATTAGTATGATGGAATGAGATTTAGTAGAAATAGAATGAAGTGGAGAATGAAATAATTATTGGAATGGAATGAAACAAGTTTTTACTTTCATGTGTTTGGTATGCAGAAAGAATAAGATATCAATGGAATGACATTATTAATCTATATTTATTTTTATAAAAAACAATTTTAATATTTATACTAATGTTATTTTCTTATTTATGATAATACTAAAATTGTTTTATTTTTTTAAAAAACTATAATATATTTTAATATTTTGTATTGTCACATTCATCTTATATAATAAATAAGTAAATTACGTATTTACATAATATTTTAACTAATACAAATATACCATTGCATACACGCCTATAAGCATATGTGGTCGGATATATTATTTACAATATAATCAATTAATGATTAAATATATAATATATAAAAATAAAATAGTAACTTTCTAAACTATTTATAAATGCATCTTTTAACAGTTTTACTTTTATATAAGTATTTAATATATCTAAGTAAAATATGAATAATAAATAAAAATATTTTTAATTATGTATTTGAAATAATTTTTTAAAACATTTTGTTTTTTTATAATTTAATCATTATCTACAATATATATTATATATTTACATTTTATTATTATTTTTTAATTTTATTTTTTGAAATACTTAATCCTAAAGATATGAGAATGAGAAAACCCTGCATTAACCATAGAATAGCTAATCCCATAGAGATGGATTTTGCAATTCCCATTAGAATAGTTATTCATTTTTAAAAATATACCAATCGAAGAATTAAGAATGAGTAACTATTTCTATGTAGTTTTCTCTTACCAATCATGTCATTAGTCTTTCTTATGTTTACAAACTCCATTGTATATTCATTGATTCACGGTTTACAAATACATGATAAACTATTTGTAAATTAATTATTCTATCATAAATATTTGTTTGGGACAGTCTAATCGTTAGGTGGATTGGCTCGTCATATTTTTTAGCAAGAATGAATACTCATGTTAAAATATGTCATTTTTTTATTTATATTCTTTTAAAGTATGATATTGTAATATTAAAGTATAAATATCTATTGAAAAATAAAATAATTGTCTAACAGTTACGCTTGTATAACTGTAATCTTAGTCTTATCTTATATTCACTTGCACTATTAAATCGTTAGTCATTAAAATTATTAATATCCTTTCAAATATTTTTTTTTTCACTATTTAAAAAGTAAAAATAAAAGTCACAAATAAGCACTAAAAAGCCCTCAAGTGCTTCAATGTAAAATGGTCATATTTTGCTGCTCGAATTGCCAAAGAATTGCCTAAGCTCTTGCCACAAAAACAACAAGACTTTTAAAGAGCATTAACTAGTGTTTTTAAATTTTAGATTATTTCCTTCCTTTTTTTTTTCTTGAAAAAAAAGAGAGGAAGAAACATAAAGTAAGAGCATTAACTTGGACAAGGACAACTAGATTAAGATTTGTAAAGGGTGGTTGATTTATATTTTATTAAATTTCATTATATCCATGTCCTTTTCTAGGTGAGGAAATTTAATAAAGGGAGATTAGTCCGCTTTATGTAATGCTCGTTGCTTTTCGTTGTCATGGAGTATATTTATATTTTCGAAAGGGATTAGTCTTGCTTGGTACATAGACAATGTAATATATTAAGCAATCATTTGCCATCATTGTTGAAGATAAGAGTGCTGAATTTGATGACTCTACAATTAATGACTTTATTATATCTTCCTTTTCTCGTAATTTGATAAGTTTAGTTATTTCTTTTGGCATATTAATCAAAATTCTCAACCTACACGGGTGGAATTGGGTTTTAGTTTCCCAGATTTGAGAGGATAAGTTTAAATAATGCAATGTACCGTGCAAAAGTATTGTCATAGCAATTTACATGGTGAAATAAAAGCAAATAATTCATATTGCATAAATCTAACTTAAAAAGAGGTTTTGGGGTTATAACCTATTATAGGGTGCGATTTGACATAAATTTTTTAGATGTGATTTGGATTTATTGAACAAAGTAAATTAAATTAGTTGCTGAAAAGTGATTATGTGGAGTTTTATATTGGATTTTGAGTTTGTATCTGAAGATGAGATAAATGTAATTATTAAAATTTATGTGATGTAAAAGTAAGAGATAAATGATTGTGTTTGATAGTTATAATATGTAAGTGGGTGAACAGCGATTTTTATTAAAAACAAGTCCCCGATCCACAATTCAAAGTTAGATCTCCTTTTCTCTTCTCGCAGAAAACTCACTTCTCAGATCTCGTCGCTCCACCTCTGTCGGCGAGTCAACTCCAGCAGCCATCGGGCCGGCCTGGCCGAGTCGCAGCTGGGTGCCCCTCCCTGCCTCTCTTGGAGCTCGGCTGGTGTAATGGTTGGCGGTGAGCTTTGCCTCATGATCTTTCCCCCGACTCAAAAAGGGTCATCAGCCGCCATTTTCTGGCCCCATTCGTGGGAGTTAGTCATTTCGACGGAGGTCCGGTCTTGTGCGCCATGTTCTTCTCCTTGAATCCAAGGTGCCTGCTTTGTTGCGCCTAGCCGGGATACTCTGTCCCGTCGGTCGTCCGGCCGCTTGAGTTGCAGCGGGAGGTGCTTCTTCGGATCCCTGTCTAGGGCCCTCCGGCGAGTTCTTGGCAGCTCCCCTTTCCTCCCCCGACGTGGATGTTCTTCGGAGTCCAGATCTTGACCGAAATTCCGTCTAGGCGGTTGAGTTGCCGCAGTTTTCAGTATTGATGTCTAGTTTTGTTGCCCTGTTGGCGTACTTGTTGTGGGTGTGATTCGATATTCAATTTAGGTGGTCATGAGTTTCGGTTGCTATGCTTAGGGGTGGTATTATTCTACTTTTTTATTAGGTGTGAGTTGTTCTTTTTTCTTTCCTTGTGTTTTTTGTTCGTTAAGTCCAGCAGCGTCTGACATCCAGTCTCCGTAATGAAGTTTTAGTCTCCTTTCTGGAGTTTGGTTTTGTGTGTGCGGTTATCTCCTCGATGGAGTTTGTCCCCTTGGACTCGTGTGTTTATCCGAGGGGGTAAGTCCAGGTTATCTAGTTCCCGTTGCGTCAGTGACACTCCTTTTGTACTCTTATTAAGTTTATCAGTTTTAATATAATTATCGTTTGAAAAAAAAAATAATAGTGAATATTATTGATGCGATATGTGAGAATTATTGATTGATATTTAATCATATTGATAATACCAATGAGAATTAAATTAATTTAGACTTGAGTTGAATTTTATATTAAAAATTTGATTAAAATTGTTTGGTAAACTTGAAGTGAATTTAGTTGGTTAAATTGGCATTGAATTTATATCCAATCACACATTTGTTCCACTTAGTNTCTATGTCTCTAAAGATAAACGCGTAGTGGACACAAAATAAAGGTGGGAAGGCTTTGTGAACACTTTGTGTCTATGACATG